GGTTTTTTGGTGTGGCTTGTTGTTTTTTTTTTGGTCTTTTTACAGACTTGCTGTTGTTTTTTTTTTTTTTTTTTTTTTTTTTTTTTTCTTTTCCATAGTGCAATTTTATAGCAATAAAGGAACAAAACATCCAGATTTGGGTGTAACTGAAAATTAGAAATTTACAATTAGGGACAATTAGGTAGTCCAGTGAGTAAGGAGACAGTCTCCAATGCACCAAACACAGATTTGCTTGCACTGCTCCCATTACCTAGAACGGGAACCGTGGGGATTACCACCCATGCACCTTTCTGAAAAATTTACCATAAAGCACAGCAGACCAGGGGGTTGCTATTGTAACAAGTCTGTACTACACAGGATTAACTCAGGAACGTCCACCTTGAATTCAAGCAATGTCCAATCAAACCATATAAAGCCAATAGAGGGACAATTGGTCGGCAATACGTTTGCAGCACATTTACTCTGCACGTTAGCTGTATGCCTCACCATCTTCCTGCACAGTTTGCTCTTCTGCCTCAAATGCGAATGACAGAAGCTTTAATGATTTTTTCAGTATTGATCTGACAGCTGGTTCATGAGACCACACTGATAAATGAAATTTATCAGCCATTCAGGTCATTCTTACTTGATGAAGGGTCTGTTATCCTCATAGCTAAAGAATGCGTAGACATAAAGACAAGAACACCAACATTAGAAATATAACGACATAGAGAATATAGCTTGCCGCCGGTCCCCCTCCCTTCTCCCATGAGCCAGCACCAAACCCAAAGGTGGACAGGCATCAGATGCCCCTTGTGCACACCATCCAGCCTGGTTCACTGCCCCGGGGAACTCAAAACACCACCAGGGATGATGGCTTCATCCACCGAAGCGAGCATCATCAGCTGCCCCTCCTGGCTCTGACCACCCAACTGGCAACTGACTTTGAGAAATTTCTTTTAGAAATCATGGGTATCCCCAGAGAAGACAAAGTTTTGAAACTCCAGCATAGCCACCACAGAAGGCTTTCATGTGTCCTGGTGGCAACACTTCACTCTGCCTGCAGTGTCTCACGGGACCCTGTTCATTGCTCTGGACTTTTTCATCAGTGTAACTCCCAAGTTGCCAAGTTAGGAGCTGGACTACAGCATTATCTTCTTTCTGAGATAATGGCATTAGGACCTTCTAAAGCTCTGGGTGACAGAAGGTATTGACCTATTTACTCCCATTTCACAGGGAAGGACAAGGGAAAGACAAAGAAAAGACTCCGCCAAGCAAGAGCCCAAAGCAGCTTGCTGCATTGAAGAAGCGGCCAAGATGGACTGAAAATGAGCTTCTGCCACTATGGGGACACGAGGTCAGTCACAGCCATTTTTGTAGGGGAGTCTCCCTGACCTTCTGGGACAAGCTGTGTGCCTCGCTCTGCCTGCAGGGCAGGTGATGGTGAGGCAGGTGGGGAGGGCAGGACAACTCCCAGGCCTCCTCTACCCACAGAATCACAAAATCACAGAACCTTCATGGTTGGAAGGGACCTTTGAGATCATCGAGTCCAACCACAAAAAAAAACAACCAAAAAAACCCCACAAACAGACACAAACCAACAATCCCAGGCACTCGAGCATGCCCTGAAGTCCCATGTCTACACGTGTCTTCAGTAACTCCAGGGATGGTGACTCCACCACCTCCCTGGGCAGGCTGTTCCAGGCTGTACCCCCTGGTGTGAAGCTTTAGAACCTCTCATGCCTTCCAGCAGCCACAACGGGTGTCAGAGATGGGGCTGGCTCAGTATGTTAACCTCAATACCCCTGCAAAGGTAGCTGGGGCCAGTCCATCTTGCCAAGACCTCTTGTGGTCAATACTGTCAAGCTATACCTTCTGCTAAACAAAACACTCCACTTGGAGGGGACCTGCATCAGGCCGAGTTAGAAGGAAGCTGTATTGAGCTGTATGTCCAAGATGAGTCTTTGTGTTTTCTCCTCACAATGGCTAAAACCACGCAGGGACAACTTCTGCACCATCCACATGCACCTGAACCCACAGAGAGGCCACCTGGGTATCAACGGGAGCAGGATTTAGTCCTCAGGGAACGAAGGTGGTTCTACACAGTAAATTGTGCAAAACATTCCCCTTTTCTCCCCATCGTGTCCTTGGCTGAGACAGAAGAGGCAGAGATGCTGCCAGTTCCAGCTTTGCCCTGGCATGGCCACCTGGAGTCTCTGGGAATAGTCATTGAAGGGGCTGGATCTGGCCATACTCATAACACTTACCCTAACCCCACTCTGAGCAGTGAGATGAGAGCTGCTGGGCAGAAAAGGCCCTGGGGGTGTTGGTGGCCTGTGGGCTGAACAGGAGCCAGCAGTGTGCCCAGGTGGCCAAGAAGGCCAACAGCATCCTGGCCTGTGTCAGGAACAGCGTGGGGAGTAGGGCCCGAGAGGTGATTGTCCCCCTGTACTGGGCCCTGGTGAGGCCTCACCTTGAGTACTGTGTCCAGTTTTGGGCCCCCTACCATAAAAAAGACATTGAGGTGCTGGAGCGGGTCCAGAGAAGGGCGACAAAGATGGTGAGGGGTCTGGAGAATAAGTCTTATGAGGAGAGGCTGAGGGAGCTGGGGTTATTCAGCCTGGAGAAGAGGAGGCTGAGGGGAGACCTTATTGCTCTCTACAACTCCCTGAAAGGAGGGTGTAGAGAGGTGGGGGTCGGTCTCTTTTCTCAAGTCACAGGCGACAGGACAAGAGGAAATGGCCTCAAGCTGCGCCAGGGGAGGTTCAGGCTGGAGATTAGGAAAAATTTTTTCACTGAAAGGGTTCTCAGGCATTGGAATGGGCTGCCCAGGGAGGTGGTTGAGGCACCATCCCTGGAGGTGTTCAAAAGATGGGTTGATGTGGTGCTGGGAGATATGGTTTAGTGATGATGCTCCTTGTTTGTTGTGTGGGTGTCTATTTTTGTCAGTGAGGTTGACGGTTGGACAAGATGATCTTTAAGGTCCCTTCCAACCTAGAAGATTCTGTGTTGCTGACAGGTCAGCAGTGCTATGCCAGCTCCAGCACCTACAGCATTCCTGGGTTGTAGCCCTCCCCGACTCCATCCCATGGGGGACAAGGTAGCTGTCCCCGTGTTGCTGACAGGTCAGCAGTGCTATCCCAGCTCCAGCACCTACAGCACTCCTGGGTTGTAGCCCTCCCCGACTCCATCTCCATCCCCCTGAGCCATCGACATCTCCCTACAGCTCCGTTCCAGCATCCTACAACCCCCTTCAGCTTTCCCGGCTGCCATCTCTGCAGGGATTCCCCCCAGGTCCTCAGCTGCCACCCTGCCAGCTGCTTGCCTTAGATGGTGTGCCACGTCTGCCAGCTGCATCGGGACATCTGAACCACCCCAGGGCACTCAAAGGCCATCTCTGACAACTCACAGGCGAAGCACAAAGCATGTCAGGATCAGGAAGGAAGTAGGAAGCAAGTGCAGAGGAGGTGGCTTGATGTGGGGAACTGAGCCCCTGCTTCCAAGAGACAGGAAGGAAAGCCCAGGTTCTTTGGCTGAGACAGTGTGACCTCTGCATCTGGGAAGGTACCAGGAACACAGAAAAGCCCTTGGTATTAAAAGGCTCCCCCCTTAGCTGCACCAGCGGGGATCTCCATCCCATCTCTGTGGCATGACGTTGGTCAAATCATAGAATCACAGAATGGTTTGGGTTGGAAGGGACCTCAAAGATCATCGAGTTCCAACCCCCCTGCCCTGGGCAGGGACACCTCCCACCAGACCAGGTTGCTCAAGGCCCCATCCAGCCTGGTCTTGAACCCCTCCAGGGATGGGGCATCCACAACTTCCCTGGGCAACCTCTTCCAGTGTCTCACCACCCTCACAGCAAAGAATGTTGCTGGTGATAGCTTATAAAAAGAGAGAATTAGGGAAATGTTTTCTCTGTTGCTGCTATGCAGACCCTCGTGAAGCTTTTCAGTGATCTGTAATAACCTTTCTTCAAGGCTGTTACTGAGAGGCTCCATTTAATCTTTGTACAGACAAAATGTGAAATTGGTAAACTCGGATTGCCTTTTAGCTTGAGGCTAACGCTTCAAAGCAACTCAGGAAAAAAAACATCAAAAAGACCTGAGCAGTTTGTGCCCCACTTTCGACCCAGATGTGCCTAGGACCCACTGTCCAAAGCAAGCAGGTGCCTAAATAAGTGAGATTTTCAAAGATGCCTAACTCCCAAACGCTTCAAATCTCTACACACAGGGCCCGTAAGACTTAGTTTCTTATATCCCACATGAAATACAAATCACTCTTTTTCATTTTACCAATTCGAGTGTTGTAAGGAGCTTAACTCTTGTGTTAGCAACAATACGTGTCTGACAAAAATTACTCCAGAATGCTTTTTTTCCCCCCTGGTAAAGTCTGTGAAACCTATCAGTGCTGCAGTAATACTGTGTCATTATCTGCAATACATAAAAACCATCACTTAGACAAGCGAAAAGCCTTGGAAGAGCCTTAGCTCACAGGAAAATAGAGCTGCTAACCAGAAAACTGAGATTACATTCACTAGTGGTATAAGCAAATGACAGTTGAGGGAGAAATGGTTGGAAAACCTAGCCTAGCACAGCTTGAGATGCTAGATCTAAAGTGCTTTCTCCAGATTTGGATAAATTCTTCCAATTCCTGGCAATAAGGGATACCGCCCATTGAATTTCAAGTGTGTGACTCTGATCCCTCCATAGTTAATGGGAGATTGGTACCCTCAAAGAGCAATTTATCCTCTACAAAAAACGGTATTTAAGGCAGGTGAGGCTTTGCCATTTCCTGAAGAAATGTCTTTCTTTCAGAGGACACCTTAGGTGGGGGCTTCACTTGCAAACACCTGAAATTAGGAAGTTGATCTTTAGTGCTTGCGATATTCCTTTACCCTGTGAAATCTCACCATACTTCCTCTGTGTTTCCTCGCAGCCCAGATGATGGATAGTGGATGGTCTTACCAATCCGTATAAATACCTAATTCATTTTCTAATCTTAAAAAAGCCCTGACTTTACCTTGGGGCAAAGACTTCTTAAGGTTAATTACACATCACGTAAAACTCTTTCAAAATCTTATTTAAGTTAGATGTCTTTCAATTTCCCAAAGTACTTTCTCCTTCAATGATGAGAGAGGATCGTTCATATTACCTTCTATATTCCTGTGATATTTCCAAACCACTACTTTTTAAAAAAAGTTGCTAAAATTACCTACTTATATCCTTATTCAGGTCCTTAAGGAATTTCAAGACGAATGCTTCCTAGACTCAGAAACCCCTTTCGCGCTCCCCATCCTTTTAAAACCCAAACATGTATCTTTTTGACACAAGGCAACCAAATTACCAGAATACACACCGACAGCCCAACACCGAGGAACAGACAATTGGCAACTTATATGATAAGGTGCAAATCACTTCCACATATGTAATTAGCAATATCCTAAAGCCTAAATATGCTAAAGCCTTCGGGTTGTTTGGTTTTTTCAGCAGGAGTAGCAAGGCAAGAATTTACCTCCACGCACAGACTGGTTCTAAAATGTTGCTGAACAGAGAAAGCCTGTTACTGAAAAAGCACCTATTCATCTCTTATTTATAAAGAATAATGTCTGGTCTTCTTACATTTTGAAAAGAGTTCACTTTCTTTTTTTTCAATGTTTAGCAAAGTGCAGGT